TTTTTTTTTTTTTTCTTTTTGGTATTAAGTCCATCTTGTGTTGGTGCATTGGCAGAGACATATGCTTTAAAAACTTAAATATTTCTGAGGCACATGTTGGACTACTTTGTTTTAATTAAACTGCTAGTATTTCTTTGTCAAGGATGTTTCTAGTTTTTTGCTTTATTGCCTTGCATTCTAATGCAGTTTGTTCTGTAACTCGAGAGCCAGTAGCATTGGATTGATGGAAGTGTAGGGTTTATGAATTATTGCAGCTGACTACCATACCTCACACAGCGTTGGTGTTGTGAGCGGCCCATGAAAAGCCAAATTAAAAATCAAGGATTCAGTCAAACTAAGCAGGTACTCATGCCAGGTACTCCTTTCTCTACCCACATCCATGTTTGAATGCTATTGCCTGTGATCTTTACGCTTAATTGTTGTGTATCTTTTTGTTCTTTACAAGAAACACAGGGGTTTTTTGTGTATTGTGTAATCTTACAAATCAAATGTTAACAGAATGGAATTTTTTTTCAACTGTATGTAGGGATGCAGTGGTGCCCAGAATTAGATATCTTTAAAGAATTTTAAATACAGTAAACACTTCATATTATTCGCCTTGTTACATTCAGTGCAATTCTCAAGTCTTTAAGAGGTATGTGTTTAATATTTCCTACTGTGTAGGAGACTTTGCAGTCAGCCGTTAGTAGTAGAGGAAGAGTCACTGGCTGGTAAAATTCAAAGCAGCAGTGAATAGCAAGGATGGATACCTTCAATCTGTGAAATACAAAGAAGTGATTGACCATATAGAATGAATTTGGGTTTTTAAAGAACTATTAAAAGTCAGGTTGTATAAGAGTTCTTAAAACCTATAAACTATTCATTCTTTGGGCTAGTGACATGGGATAATATATTCCTACTTGAAAGGAAATCCCAATTAGTTGATTTGTCAATGGCATTCCTTTTCTAGGAGAGTGATACAGTAGTATGTCTGTGTGAGCCATTTACAGATAGGCAAGCATACACAGGTACATGGCTTTAAGACCACACTGATACCTTGATAATAAAAAGAATACAAACATTCCATGTACATATATAAATGAGCAGTTAGTGACCGGGCCAATAACTTAGTCATAAAAATTTGCCTTTTATATGTTGTCTAATTACCATTTTTCCCCAAATTTTGCATTGTAGGACTACTGTTCGAAGATTTTTGAAAGAAAACTGAAAACGGCATAAAGTGAAGATCAACATTAAAATGAGGTGAAAGAAAACTTTAGTGGCATAGAAAAAGTATAAAGCTCAGTTAGTATGTTTTTTTTTAATTAAAAGTTTATTCAGAACTGATGTGACCTACCAGATTTCAGAATACGTGTTAATAGCATATATATGCCACTGAAAACTTAGGTCCTGTATCATATTTTTTTCTTTAAGACTTTTTAAGAAATATTACTTAAACATGTGGCTTGCTCACTGTTTAATTGCAAGTTTTCATTCTTGGACTTTGAAAACAGGATTAAACGTTAGTATTTGTGTGAATCGGTTTAAGTGGGATTCCATTTTTACAACTCTGCTTACCTAGCCTTTGGATTTAGAAGTGAAAATAAAGTATCTCTGACTTTATGTTACAGATTTGATTGTCTCTGTCATTGAAAAGTTTTAGTATTAATCTTTTTCTAATAAAGTTATTGACTCTGAAATAGTCCCTTGTTTTAAATATAAGAGGTGCACTGTTAGAGGTGTTGGTGTACAGTTTTATCTGATTTGTTCTGTTTAGGACTAATTTAAATGTTTTAAATAATGGTGCTTCGATTTTGGGTGGTTATGAATAAATTTTGAATTTTGCTTTTAATAGCAAAGATGTACAGTGACCTAGAATATATTTTTACATCCCTGAGAGTTCTTTAGTAGTAGAATAAAATTGCAACAATTCTGACAAATACTGTCATTCTAGCTATGATGAAATAATTATGTAGAAGAGCATTCAAGAACTTTTAGCTAATTTTTGTCTTTGTTTTAAATCCTGTATCAAGATTTCTTTTCATCTGGTCTTGTCACATTACAAATGTATTCATTTGTGTGTATGGGGTGTGTAGTACATATAACAAGGATCTTTTTTAAAAAACTGCATGAACAGGTGATTTTTTTCCTACAGACAGCAAATTTGACAGACTGTTTCTATGTATAGCCAGCTTTGTTAGCTGTATGAAATTATCTCCAGCTACGTATATCATAGCAATTCTTTCTGATTATAATTTTCAAATACTGCCATTAGTTTATAGGTAGAGAAAGCAAGTAAAAATGGGTTAGATGACTTATCTAAGGTCATGTTGCTCCATGGTGATGCTTAACGAGCCCATGGGGTACAGTCTCTGTGTGCATTGTAGTTAAAGAATTGACTAAAACACCCTCCACCAGGCTTTGGAAAATAATGAAGCTACCACTTCAGAGGCTCTGTATGAGATAATGCTGTGTGGACAGAGCACACATGGCTTACGCAGCTGATCCTGGGGGCTCAGAAATAAGTGAATGGGTTATCTCTGAATTTGCCAGATATGATTCACACGAGGATTGAGATGGGAAACGATGTAACACAAAGTCAGCCACCTTCAAAGCTCTGCTTTGTGTTGTTTGACAGGATTGTGGATGAGGAGTAAAAGACTTAAAGTAATAATTTACCGTATTCTGTTAGTAAGTATTAAGAAAAATGGAAAACAAAAAACTAACGTGTTAAAATGCCTGATTTGTTCTGCCTCGTGTAGCATCAATAGCTAAATTATTTTAATGAAGTACAGAAATGAGTTCATGAAAAGTTTTCAATCATCTTCATCTCTGTTGTAGACACTGAGGTCTGTTGATCACTATTGAAGCTATGTAGGATTTGAGGGAGAGGCCTGACTTCTTAGTAACTAAGGTATGGCCTTTAGCTGTGGCGATCTAAAAGTTGGGTCAGGCTCAGGAGGAAATGATTCTTATTAACCAAGTTCACAAGAATTCAATATAGAGGGCACATGCTAATTAACTGTAACAATATACATTTCTGTGGTGCACATCAAAAAGTTGTCAGTTGATGAATATGTATTTTCTCTGCAAAGCTTTTAAGGGGCTCCAATTGATCAAGAGATTACTTGATAAGATTGGAATCAGGAATTTTTAGACTTTTTATTTAGGAGAATTGAAGTCATACACAAACGTAGAACAGTATAATTAGCCTCTATGACAGCTCATCACCAATAAGACACAAAGGCCTGTCTTAACATCATTTGTGTGTATCCCTTGACCCCTATTATTTTCAGGCAAGTCTTAGACATAATGTGTAAATATTTCACCGTGTATCTCTAAAAGGTAAAGACTTTAAACAGTTCATTAATCAAAATAAATTGGATGAACTTCTAATTGGCCAGAGTCAACTATAGTACTGGTGTTAAAGCTTACTTTTCATGGTGCCTCTCAAGGGGACCAGGTGTTGAGGCTGATGCTCTGGCATCCTTCCTTCTGCAATGTAGAAAGAAGTGCATCTTCCCCCCTTTTTTTGACATTTTCCCCCAGATGAGAATATATTTTTCAATAAGGATTAAAATGCTTTTTCTTGAGCTTTTAATAAACTATTATTTCCTTCCCAGTTTAGATATTTTAACAACCTCTCCCTGGCAGTGGTCTGTCCAGGTTCTTCAATATACTGAGTATCACAGCAGACAAACTGACCCTATTTTTAAGGTCTGAGAACAATGACCACATAAAGATTGAGTTCAGATACCTTCTGATTAAAGTTTTAGAGATGTTAAAACTGAACAATTTAAGGTAGAAATTTCTTGAGCTTGTTTCCATTCTATGCTTTTAAAAATACATTGTAGAGCTGTGTGAATGTTTTTAAACATTACCCTAAGGTGCATGAAACAGCACTTGAAAATTTATTGTATATATTTTCTGTGGGATAGGACTTTAGGGTTGGTTTTCAGATTTCAGTTCAGGCCAATTTTTAGAAAGAACCCCAGGTGATTACTTTATAAAAGTTTTGTATTGCACATGTAATGCTTGTACAAGGTTCGGAAACACTAGAAGTATGTAGCAATCTGTCTTCTACTTCTGTCCCTCCCTCTCTCCTCTCTCTCCAGGAGCTACTACTGTTACCAGTTGTTCTTCCAACTGTTTTTTTTTGTGGGGAGGTGGGTGGCGGGGCATGTAAGCATATATGTATAGATCTTTTTATATATGTTACTACAGATGTTCTATGAATCTTGCTATTTTCACTTGATTTAGAAACATTGGAGACAGGAAACAGCAGTTCTAAATTTTAACATGGAGTTTTTTAAAGTACATTTTAAGTAAACCAAAACAAAAGTAAGTGTGGTTTTCATGGTTGTATCAAATTTTTGAACTTATTTTGAAATGCACTTTGAGAATTTCATAGTTGATCTGTTTTTTCCCCTTAGCCATTCCAAGTAGATCAGTTGTCAGCATACTTGAGAATGTATAGGAACAACAGCTTCGGTAAACAGTTTGGCACAACCAGCTGTGCCGTAACTTCTCTTGGGGCCCTTCCACCCCAGATACATAACCCTAGAGAAATCCTTAACGTGTGTGCCAGAAGATGGATGTAAAAATGTCATAACAGCATTATTTGTAATAGGAAGAAAAGGAAAAAAACCTGGAAAGAACCCAAGTATCCTTCAGCAGTCCACTGGATAAATACTGTGTGTTTATTCCTGCAGTGGAATTCCACACAAGTCAGACTGAACTACAGCTGCACCTGTGAACATGGGTGATCTCAGTGGTCAGAAAAGCAAGTTACAGAAGAATACTTCCACTGATTCCATTTCTGTGGAGGTCAGATGCAGGTGGTAAAACATGGTAAATGAAAGGAAATGATTGCCATGAAATTCAGTGTTACCCATCGAATTGGAGGGATGGAGGGAAATGAGACCTTGGAGGGCAAGGAGGAGCCTTCAGAGGAACTGGTGATAATGCTCTGTTGCAAAAGCTGGGTGGCAGTTTCTTTTCAACTGTACTATGTGTTTTTTGTATGTATGATATTTCTTAATAAAATTTAAATTTAAAAAAAAGAATGGGAAAAGGTCTTGGTGTAGGCAGTGACTAATGAAATAGACAATAACATCATGTATTTCATGAAATCAACCCCCTTCCAATGAATGGCAGATTTAAAAGGAACTGTTTTGAGTGCCAAGTTTGAGGTCTTTGTAGTTTAAAAGCTAGAAATAGGACCTAAATGTATACTTTATTCAAGATACTACATTTCTCTCATGATTTTCATTTGGGTATCAGACAGGGAGCTGTTGGTTTTATTGTCTAAGCAGCTTCCAAGGAAGCTTTTCTCAGATTTATGTCATTCTAGGAAGGACAACTGGCAACAGACTGACCCATATTCAGCACATCCTTCCCCTTGTTCAAGTTAGATTGTCACTTCAGAAAGGCTGCTGCTTTTTGGCCTTGTTTTACCCGTAGGAGGGGTACCATGAGGTATTAAATATTCTTTGGAAGGGATATAATAAAAACTTGAAATGCACCTGCAGGTGCATGCAATTAAGGTAGCGCTGAGGCATTAAAGCAGTTAGCAGTGACCTCAACCCCAACCATGCTATCCAGATGAAACCTGGGAACCACCCTCCAACCCTTAAGTGTGATGTCAGGGCTTAGCCAGGAGTTGATTCAGCACAGTGGTCCAGTGCCACTGTGTCTCAGGTGCTGTTCTGACACTGGATAATCAGTGAACAAAATAGGAACACCTTGGCTGAGTAAGAGTCCTGGCAGTAGTGGCTCCCACAGGCCTCTGACCTGAGTAGGAAGGACTATGCTATGAGGGCTAGGAAGGGGCAGTGCGCTCAGGTAAGAGTCTCCCTCACTGTAAGTAAATGTTATGAAACAATGAATTCTAGATCATTCCATACTGTATTTTCACCTAAATAACTGGAACTTATTAGGATAGCATTCTGGTACTTAATTCATTTCACAACTTAAAAATCTTAAAAGTACATGAAAATCTTTGAATGGAATTACTGTGCTCAGAAATTGGTTTTCTTGCGACAGTAACTTCTTTCAAATTTATCCTGTTCACCTAGAATCTCATTTCACAAGTGATTTCGGGCCGTTAACAACCAATGCTGAGCTCTTGTATTCCTTGTTTAAAACAACTGAAAATACATGAGGGAGGTGATATTTGGAGATCGGCTCTGTCATCCCCTAGCATAATCTGGTATTGGAACACTCTGAGCATGAGGTGGAATTGGCCTGCATTAGGGGCTGTGCTCTCTTTAAAACGTGGCTTGGATGCTAAGCCTCCATTAAGTGCATGGGAGCTCCTCCCATCACCCCCGTGGGTACTATGCAGATTGCAGATCAGGGCACACTTTTACTCGTTACAGTCTGACTGAAGGTATACACTTCTATGCCTGCAGTATTGAAACATTTTCTGCTCCGGACAGTTTTGTGAGATAGGTTAATGTAATCCCTTGTGTCCTGTCCCTACCTTTCAAAGGTAAGCTATTGAGAATTTGGAGGTGAGGAAACGGCCTATTTTGATGTTGAACTAAAGTGAAGCATTAAATGTTAAACTCTTCTAGCTCAGAGAAGGGGACCAAGAAAGTAGTTTTCCAAAGTATACGCATGAAGTTAGCAAACTGGTACATGTATCCAGACTTCACTATCTAAAATAATTGATTCCAGTTTTTCATTTCTGAGATTTTCTTAGTCATTTCTGCAGCACTGCTGTGGTAGGGCTTCTCTGTAAGAGACGGCATGTATAGTATCAGTCCAGAGCCTCCAGTTCTCAAAGATTTTCTTAGTCATTTCTGCAGCACTGCTGTGGTAGGGCTTCTCTGTAAGAGACGGCATGTATAGTATCAGTCCAGAGCCTCCAGTTCTCATTAAAGTGAGTTTCTATTTCTTGAAAGTCCCATAGTCTCAGAATGTGTTTGTCCTCCTTAATATGGAAGAGAAATAATATGGTTTATAAATACCATTGGAGTAGGTAAGATAAAAAGGCTTAATATTGGCCAGCATCTCAGGCTTCTTGTCTTAAGATATTTCTGTTCTGTTCATCCATATTAAACAGCAGTTGAGAGGTTCTTTGTTTTCTGGGGGGCAGGGGAGGGTGGTCCCTGTAGGCAGGTTTCTAAGGGGGATATGGGCCCAACTTGATGCTGCTCAAGAAAAAACTTAAGGGCATTTTTAAAATTCATTTTAATATGTGCTCATTTATTCACTTAAACATCTGTTGTGGGTCTACTACAAACAGGCTGTGATGAGCACTGTGCAAATAGAACATTGATAATCACATTGAGTCCATACTCTGCCAGCACTATATTGAACACTTTACATGGGTTAACATTTAATTGACCAGTGCATTTTTTTCTTAAAAGCTATCTAGGAAGTATAATTATCCAGCCACTTAGTTTACAAAGAACTTGCTATTAGATGAGACACCAGTAAGAATTGCTAAAGGCAATTTTAAAGCTTAAGAAAAAGCCCAAAGAAACAGGATTTTTCTTGTGAAGGTAAAAATTGGTATCTGTATTTTCAATCTGGAAAAATACATAAAAATGAAAAAATTGTCTCGAGATTGCAAAGGCTAACTTCCTAAGCAAATAAGGGTGTGCTGGCGACCACATTACCTATTGATAACCGGTCAGTTTTGCAGAGGTTGTAGTGGCCATACATATTGAACTCAGAGTTAATTTGAGCATTAGTTGTAATTCAAACAATTCCAAGGGCTTATAAATTGTGCAAATAAGTATCAGGTTGGAAATTGCCTAGCTACCATGTTTGGCAACTGTGCAGCCAGAATTTCCAGTGTCTTGAAAAATTATAAATGGATAAGCTAAATGATCTGCTTCACAGAACATAGTTTAACATATTTAGAGCCCGGTTTGCATGTAGAAACTTGCAAACCCTACCTTTCTGAGCAGTGAGTTTGGAAACTGATGTTCACTTGCTGTGTGTTAATCCCCAGTTCACAGCAACACACTTCTAGTAGATTGTGGTAATTAACCTCTTGTTCAGTTCAATTAAGTCATTTTCTTTGGGGTGCTGTATTCTGACTTTTAAACAGTTCTGGATCATCCACAAGTTCATTTGTAAAAGAAGGTGTATCTTTTAAAGCCTCAACGTTACAGCATAGATAATAATCAGAACTAAAAAGTGGACAGGAAGCTTTCAATGGCATATGTAAACTAAGTTACCTGACCCTTTTCTTGGAGTGCTGGGCAAGGTCTAGGATGTGTGTGCCATTATGCCCACCAGAAAGCTTGGTAGTTTGAAGCCAGGCTAGGGTTTAAATATGCAGTGAATACATCATGCTTGGGCAACACAAGAGTTTATACCCTGGTCACTTGGAAAACTTGAAGGAAATGTGTAAGCCTTGGGGTTCTGTATCCTTGAGGAGCTATTTGCAGCGGTGCAAATTCTTACTGCATGCCCCCGCCCCAGAATAAAAGGTGATAGATCCTGAGAAATCTGCTGATACTACCATCTTTTGGGACATTAGCGTCTTAAAACTTACTGCCCCGAGAAGGAGCAGCAGTATTGAGTAGAGGTGGAGGAAACCAAATGGTGAGTTGGGCATTGCAGTGTTGTGTAACAGTCCTCGTTTAGCCAGGCATCATCAGTTTGGCATTATCACCTGGGCCATTTGGCAATTGGATTTGATCCTTGTTTATATGCCCCTGAGAAAATTAGAAAAGGGGAGAGTTGAGAAACTGGCAGCACCACAGGGTTTGGCTCCCTGCCAGATCTGTCAGTTAAACAGGGACAACAATGCCCCATCTCCACTTCCTGCTCCACCGCTCCTCCTCTGCCACCTCCTCAAGGGGAAAAAACAAGTCATGAAAAGGGCAGTAATTATGTTCAGGCTTGAAGAGTAATTTTCCTTAATCACCACCCAAATCATGAAAAGGAGCTGAGAAAGTATTTTTAAATTGTATGCAATCTGGGAAAGAAATATTTATAAGCTCTGTGCTTAACTCAAGTTTCTACTTAAATATTTTCGGCACTTTGTGCTTTGCGTCTCCAGCTGTCTAGCGGAGTTGTACAGCTGAAAGAGTTCTTCATGAGAAGCGTTCTCAGCCAGAGGGAAGGGAAAGGAGTGAACATCACAGGGCACTTTCCAGGGCCAGGCCTCTTTCGTGTTCACAATATCCACCCCGCTACTCTGCCCCAGACACTGCTAAGCCTGGGGAAGTGAAGAAAACAAAATCCAGAAGTGGTCTGTGTCCTGGAGTTCACAAGCTAGCAGGAGAGAGATGCAATCAAGTGGCCTCAAGTGAATGATGGGCCAGCTACCTCATTAGTGGACCGTGGAGTAAAAAGACACCCCTAAGCCATGGCAGATAGGTGACCCCAAGGAATTGCAGCCTTCCTACCTGAACACGCCTGTACCCCCTTTGCCTGCTAGTTGCCCTCAGGACATGCTTTGCCTTATCTGCTTCAACTCCAACTCTTTTCCTTGAGTCTCTGCTGAAGGGACAAGAATGAAGGACTCCAGTGGAGGTGGAGATGACGATGGACTGGGAGTGGCTCACGTATGTGAGCCAAGACTCCAAGCTCCCAATCCCCAGCACAGGCTCCATTGCCCCATCTGACCGACTGTAAAACAAGCTCAAAAATAAAATATACTAAAAATTTCAAGCAGCGATCACAGGAATTTTATCCCAAGCATGGGCCTTTTCTGAATGCAGGGCCCTGTACAATGGCCTTGGTTGCAAGCCTGTGAAGCTTGTCCTGCTTAGGGCTCAAACAGGCTTTTTCCACACTGCCAAAGGCCTCCCCAGAAGTGGGGTGCTCTTGCCCAGCTCAGCCCTCTCCCAGCAGAGCGAGATCTGTGGAGCCTGGTCTTTGCCTCTCCGGGCCACTGGGGGAGCCCTGTACTGGGCCCTGGGGGCTGAGGGCCCTCTCCCAGGCAGCCCTGTAGTGGCTGGGCCTTCGCCTCTCAGAGATTCCAATACCTGATCTCAGACGATGCCTTCTTCACCCTCCACTCATCCAACAGCATGGTAATGTCCCCTAGCCTGGCCCACCTTGTTTAAAAGCATTTCATTCTCCACATGTGTCTGAT